CGATGTGCTGGCTAAAAGCCAAAGATACAAAAGATCGAGTCGCACCCGAGTCAAATAATACCAAGATAGGTACATAATTCACAAGAAAATTACCTACGCATATCATAATATAAGCACAATATCTTAGCATAAAAGTAAATACACGAAAGAATACATACCAACTACGACATCGAGCGCCGCATGGACCTCCTCCGCAGTTAACTGAAAAGCTCTCCAACGAGCCTTCGGAGCCTCGGCTTTCACCGGCCGAGTCTCGGTAACCCTAGCAGTAGGCGCAGATCCCTGGTGAAGCTGAGGGCACTCGGACTTCCGATGGCCGGTCTGGTTACAATGAAAGCAAACCATAAATCCCTTGGGGCAATCCCTAGCAATGTGCCCCTCCTTGTTACACTTGTAGCAAGCACCCGATCGACATGCCCCCTCATGACCCTTGCCGCACTTTCCGCAAGTGCGGCCCTTCTGACCTCCCATCCTCGAATCGGCGGACATGGTCCGCTTGGCTGCCGGCTGGCACTGAGTTGGCCGCCGATCCACCCACTGAGACTCGGCCTCCTCCCTGGCCTGAGTCTCCAACTCGATCTCTCTCTTCCTGGCATTTGCCTGAAGCTCAGCGAAGGTCTGGTATGACGAGTTCGATATGAACTCCCGAATATCCCTCCTCAGCACACTCAAATATCGGCTCATCTGAGCCTGCTCGGTGGACACCTGCTCAGGGCAAAACATCGCCCTCTCATGAAACTTCCGAGTGATCACCGTAACCGAATCATTACCCTGCTTGAGGGTCATGAATTCCTGAACCAACCGTTCCCTCTCCATCGGGGGAACATACTCATCTCTGAACATAGAGGTAAACGTCTCCTAAGTCACGGCTAAAACCTCCGCAAGAGTGAAGTTCGCAGTCACGAACTTCCACCAATCCTTTGCTCCCAGGTGGAGCTGGTTCAAAGCGAATCGTACCCTCAGATGCTCCGGACATGAACAAGTGTAGAAGCATCCCTCAATATCAGCAATCCATCTCATCGCAGCGATCGGATCCTGCGTCCCATCAAACTCGGGTGGCTTCGTGTTGCTGAACTCTCGGAATAGCAACGAATCACCTCCCTGTGGTCTGGCAGCGACCACAACTGCGGTAGCTGCAGCGGCTGTGACCTTAGTCACCGCAGCGTACCGCTCATCAAAAGTCTCCATCAGAGTGGTCTTAATAGACCCAAACATCTCCAGAATCTCGGCCCGGATCGCCGCAGCCACCTCCTCGTGAATCATCTGACAAAGCTCCTCGTCACTCACACCGCTCGTACCAGGTCTATGGCGTGGTCCAACCATAATGCCTCTGAAATACAACATAAAAATATCAGAGACTCCATCGAGCATAATCGCACTCGATAACGCAACCCTACACGGTCTCCGATACCCAAGGATTCTTACTTGGGTTGCCCACTAACCCGGTGTCTTCAGTAGTACGGGCCCATTACTACCAACTATACCGCATCAGCATTCACACCAAGTCCTCCTCCCCGAATCCCGGATCATGAGTACTCTATTCTTGCTATGCACTAGCTACCCACTCGCTCTCAAAGCCTCTCATAGCAGCAGTTCCCCCTAGACTAAGGCATCACAAATCAGGCCACTCTAGTCCTAATATGAATACCTAGTCTACTAGCATGCATATCATATCATAACATATCTCATAACACATATTGTAAGAGTATTTTGGGGATTTTAACGTTCAGGGGCCGGCTGACCGTACACACTGCTTTTTCCTTTGGTTGTTTCAAAATCTCTTATCACACTTTTATTGCTTTTATTAATTAAAATTTTTTCTCAAATCCCCGGTTTGAGTTTAGTTACGCCCTAAGGTGTATCTGAATCCCTCAAACCAAGGCTCTGATACCAACTTGTAACAACGTAAATTTTAAAACAAAATTTTCATTTTTGCAAACATCAAAAACCATCGTTTAATATTCCAAATTCAAACGTAAACAATGTTGTCATAACCAAATACATCCCATGATCATAAAAAAACAGTTTCTCCGACAGTGTGTACAATGACGTCGACGCCTTCCCACGGTCCTCGCTAGTACCTGAAACACATAACACAACAACTGTAACAATAAATGCTTAGTGAGTTCCCCAAAATACAACTTACGCACATACGCCTTTTCAGGCCCTAACCTTCCGGTCCATGTGTCTCAGGGGACTTCCGTCCCGACTAGGTAAACCTTCCGGTCCTACCTGCGTCAACCTTACGATCCACATCACAACGCCTTCCGGCCCATAACATATACGCCTTCCGACCCATAACATAATGCCTTCCAGCCCATATCAAGCATAGCATACATGGCACATATAAACGTTTAACTTATCACATACAATGCATATAACTCATAACATATCCGACCTTCCGGTCACACAATAAAAACCCTTCCGGGTACAGTATAGTGAGAAAACTCACCTCGTGGAAAGTCTAAGATCTCGTGTACTCGCTAACTCCAAATCCCAACGACAACTCTACCTCGCCTAATCATAAAAATATCATTTTAATAATCAGAGACTTCCACAATTAAACTTTAACCCTTATCATCACTCCTTAGAGGGTAAAAGACCATTTTACCCTTCCTTGACCCAAAGTCTTCATGTTGACCAAAACCCTAAAACTCAACAAAAGTCAACCTTGTGAGTACGCGGGGCGTACTGCTTGATGTACGCAGGGCGTACATCGCCAACCCATGGATCGGGGTCTTCACGCAGTACACTGCGCGTACTGGGAGTTACGCCTAGCGTAACCTTCAGACTTTAACATACTTCATTTCTGGTCTTAATCGGTTAAGCCATTACTCCAACTTCTAGATCCGGATCTGTTTATGCATCTATACCTAATAAGTCGAGACCTTTAAGCCTTGGCATGGCTGTAAAGGCTCCAACACTTCTTAACATCATTCTATTCTAACTCAAGGACCTAGATCTCATGCATGGTGTATCATTCACGTCCAAGATATCATTTTATGAGTCTACAACTCCAATAGGCCAGAAATATGATGGATCTAAGCTTATGGAGACCATTTGCACAAAAGGTCTCCACCTTTGGGACTAAAACCCTAGAAAATGGTACTTGAAGCATATAACATGAACCATATGTCAAGATCCGAACTTTTTACCTGATAATGAAGCTTTAACCTTTGCAAAACTCAGATCCACACTTGAACACCACTTCTAGCCTCCCCCAATGAGCTCTTCTTCTCCTTTGCTACATTGGAATGGCATCACCAAGCTTAGAATACTCACAAAATGTCCTAAGAACGGATGCACACTCACTTTAGGGTTTCTCTATGAGGGATGGTGGCTGAGAAGTCCAGCCACACATTCCTTTTATAGCCCTCCGAATGGATTAGGGTTTTTAGGTCTAGACCGGTTACGCCCAGCGTAACGTTGGGTACGCCCAACGTACCCGAGGGTGAATGAGTCCAAATGAAGTGCGCGAGTACGCGCAACGTACTCCTGGTACGCCCAGCATACTCACCTAACATGCAAACCCTAAATGACAATATATCAAAGATGCAGGGCTAAATAGAAGGATACCTGGATTTCGGGCTTTTACAACACGAATGAAGAGGTAAAGGCAATAACTAATGATAAATTTACCTTTTTAATATTTAGTGTCTCTCTTCCATTATACTTATTCTATCATATGCTAATTGGTTGCTTATGCTAGAACGAATAAAGATTTAAATAGACAATGGTTGGTGCCTTTGTGTTAGGGGTAAGAATACAATTTTTTGGTTGTTTTGATATGGTGGGATGGTTTTAGGAAATTTGATTTTGTTGTTTGTTTGACTTCTTTGTATTATTAAATTAAATAAACTATGCTTTAGATATTGTCAGGTAATTGTAAAACCATTAAATCAAATTTCAATTTGAAATTACTTTTTGTTGGTTAATATTTTTGTTATTATATTTGATTATAAACGGCATAACCTAATGTCCTAATTACACTACTTTTCATTTACCTTTTAACTAAATATTTTTCTTAAAGTAATGATTATATATATATATATATATATATATATATATATATATATATATATATATATATATATATATATATATATATATATATATATATATATATATATATATATATATATATATATATACACTTCAAATTCTAATCACGTTTGTAAAGTTAATGAATCTTAAATTAACAATTTATGTTTGCGTTCAATTTATACTTCTACGTACTTAGTACTCAAAGCATATATGAAATAAAACTGTTTATGTAAAATCAAATGAAAAATATGAACATTACATATATTTATCACTATCATTGACGGAAGCTTTCATTTTCTGTTCTTTTAGAAAATACTTTTGAAAAGTAACGATTCATTATATGCCCATAGAACCATATTGATTACAATTTGGATATGGTATATTCACGAAAATAAACTATTTCACTCTCTCCTCTATTTATATTAATATTAGGTTTCCGAACGAAACTAATTGCAAAATTAACTATTCTCGCTCTCCGTTTGGTGCGGGTAATATATATATATATATATATATATATATATATATATATATATATATATATATATATATATATATATATATATATATATACTACATAACCCATAAATTTTGGGTCCTTGGAGACGTGGGTCCTGGATAGTCGCCCGAATTGTCCACCGTCTGGACCGGCTCTACCTGTTATAAAGCTCGAGTCCTGCATTTGAAGCCAAGAAGCTCGGTCGGTGTATGCGAGAACTCAATACGGTCCCCAACCTTGAGCCTTGGTGTCTTATAGTGTTGTCAAATCATACATGTTAGTTGTTTAAAAAATAAAATAAAATATTAATATTATATATAGTTTTGGACGCAAAATGTGTTATTGTAATTATATCTTAGTTGTCGTATTAAATTAGTATCCATATGAATCCTTATATATTCATTTCATTTGTTAAGACTGATGTGAAGTCATTGGCAGAACTTGAAGAAAACCGTATATAATGATTCTTAAGCCTTGTGTTGTTGTATTTTTTGTAATTTTGATTTGCACATTAGACATTGTTTGTGCGAGAAACCTTGAGACTAAATTGTTTAATACTGATGTCGCGACAGTTGAGGTTGTAGAAGGGCAACTAAAGGCGGTTACAATTCAGATCCAGGATTCTGAAAATAAGCTCGACCAAATTAGTGGAAGCCTGGAAGCGATAGTTCAGCCTATATGTGACCAAATAAGGGCGGCTAGAATGCAGATCCAGAATTCTGAAAGTATGCTCCGCCAAATTAGTGGTAGAATGGAAGTGGATGAAGAAATTTCAAGGGAAAGGCTAGTAGAAATGTTCATGGATGATACTAGAGAAAATCTTGATGACAGGTTTAACAATGGTGTTGGTGGTCACAGCATACTTGGAGATGAAGTAGAAGGTGGTGCTTGAGGAGGAGGCCATGGTGGCTGAAACTGATAGCCATGAAACACAATGGAACTTGTAGAATAAAGGGAGCAAATTACATGCTAACTCTATCTATTTGCTTTTAAATGAACACGCCTGGTTTGAAGTTATATCAAATAAGGATGTTTTATATTATCCTTAAGTTGAAGTATTATATATGTCATTACATTATTAAAGACATGAGTGGTTTAATATCTCATAAATTGTCATGTGTATATGGATTCTCACTATAATATGAAACTATAAAGTTTTGATCGTAGTTAACAGGTTATAATTTATGCTAAGGATCATTATGGTTAAATATGGTTAATTATCGGTTAAATACTATCTATGCAATAAATATAATGTCCTGTTGAAATCATCTCAACTTTAGCCATCGTTTCTTTGTTGGACATTGTGTGCAAAAAGTTTCTTTGTTGGACATTGTGTGCAAAAAGTAAGGGCGACTGTTAATTTCTGAAATGATTTAACAAATTGAAGGTGTAATAGTGAAAAGAGTGACTTACAAGTAGACTATGGAAACTATTAGGGTTTGGGAGTGAAGTTACCCACAATCTCGATCATTGTTCTCAAGTGTTTTTCGACGGGGCCAGAGAACATAAACAAGGCATCAGTAGTTATACGGGGCTTCCCTGATATTGCTCTTCAATGCTCAAGTCATAAAAGAATTGCATATTATGATAAAATAACGATAGGAGAAACTATATCTCTTTTTGTGTGACCATTTTTTTTTGTGTGTGTGTGTTTCGTGTCTTGGGGTGGGACAAGTATTTCTTTTGCCCAGCAATCTCTTGTGAGGTATATTAATTAAATATAAGTTATTCTTTGTACTTTTATATTTAATATATGTTATATATGTGTACATGTCATTATATGGAGAACGTAGTTTCACCGATATGCTAGTCGAAAGTGTTTGCTTGCTGTGCATTTTGTTGGTCTTCTTGTTACCCATATATTCGGGTTTTCTGGGTGACAGATCTTGCGGCTAATCAACCGATTCGATATAATCGATTATATGTCGGGTTGGGTATTCCATTAAGCTCCCGAGTCCAAAGGATAAAAATTAGGGCTGCTAATTTTTATTGTTTGGACTAGACTGTCACTTTAAAGTTGGACTCCATTTAAAGCATTTAAATTTTAGTTTGGGGCTTCCTCTTAGTTAATTTTTTTTTGTAAGCTTTGATGTGTCATTGATAATGTATAAAATCATATTGAAATAAAATGCAATTTTTTATTTATAAAACCGAACAAACCAAACTAAGATTATCTATACCAGACAACGTACGCAATCTTGATTATGATAGCCTAGGTTAGTAAGGGTATCAAACACATGGGAACAAAGATGTACTACGATTGCTAAATCTAATTATTAATCAACCTTAAAACCAATCATATAAAAGGGAATTTATAAGCAGTACTCATATGAAATTTTGCTTGTCGTCTGATCACCATTTTATGATGGAAATTGAGAATATCTTTCAACGATCTTTGAGGATACTTGGCTTGAAGTTGAAAAATTATTGGATCTAAAAATGAGGTATCAGTAGCACCCTAATTTCCTTTATTTGTCGCTTTAGTTGTGTCAATCAATACATGGGAGAATACTCCAATATCGAATTGCATCAGACTTACGATAAGGGTTAGAGGTCATGATTGTGTATAAAGAGTAGTGGGCTCAATATTGACATTTGGGTTTGTTATAGGTGGAATACTAGCTTATTATTATTAAGTCATCGCGAAATAATCACCAGTAAACTAAGAACTAAACATTTAAGAAAAATCTCACCAAATCTAATTCCTATGGACCTAGTATGACTATCATGCTTGCTTCCTGATAATAGTTTTGTGAAGGGATAGCCCATATTTTCCTTCGATGACATACTATTCACTATGATATCTCCATCCTCGACTTGCTTCCGAATGTAGTGGTATTTCCTGAGTATATGTCTTGACTTCCCATGATGCCTAGTTTCTTTAGTAAAAGCGGTTACACCTTGATGTCATAGAAGATTTCCATGTGATCCTTGATCCCCATAATGACATTGAGATCACCGATGAAGTTCTTTAACCATGTAGGCTCTTCTTTTTTCTTGATACATAGGTTGTGATGCGGCCTAGTCTTGCGGTTATGAAGCTTTAATCTTATAGGCTTGTTAGAAACCAAATCACTTACTAGATTCATGATATGGTACTATTATGAACTTAATGTTAAGGTTAGCTTATGAATTATGCTATAGGATTCTTGATCTGGATAATGAGGGTTGTAAACCCAAGTCTAGAAATTTGAGACTAGGCTAAAGACTTATGGAGTTAAGTCATTTAGCAATTATGATTTGGAGTTTGATTAGCCTGGTGACAAATGGTTACTGAAGATAACTCCGAGTGAACTGATACAAGTCCTAAGGAACTTCATATATTATACAAATATGTTTGGACAAGTGGTTGTGTTGATAATTATCACAAATTAGAGGCGAAAGTAGTAGTTTTCAAGTCGTTTAGTAGTTAGTTTTTTACTAACTGGTCATACGAGTACGTGTGGATATTTATGAGTTCATTGTACAACAAGTTTTCTATGTTAGATGTTTGATATTGAAGGGTCCAGTTTATGGTTTGGTCTAGGCTTTCGATTGTAAAAGGTCTTTTGAGTCATTTTATATATTTTCAGGATGTTTGGGTGTTTACGGCCAGGTCATGTGTTTACGGCCAAAGTCTTCTATATATAAGGGTGGTCAAGGACTTTTGTGGTTGTTGATCGTTTAGTATTTGCGGCCAGAGTATTCACAAGTTGTACAAGACGTTTGTATAATACAAACGTGTGCAAGCTTGTTTCTTCTTCTTCTTCTTCTACTTTAATTGTTACTATTGTTGATTGATTGATTGCTTGATCACTGATTAAGATCCGTTTCAGGAACTTACAATTGGTATCAGAGCAAAACTGGTGTCAAAAGATCTCTCAATCAAGTTTTCGGTCTCCCTCACAATCTTCCGTCTCCTTCAATGACATCAACCAGGAGATACCCTCACGTATTCAACGCGATCATCCGATCGAGAATGTCATTGGCCAACTGGGTGATGGTGTTAAGACAAGAAGTCAGAGTGGAGATGTAAACACATGTCTCTATTCTTGCTTTATCTCTCAAATAGAGTCAAAGAACGTTGAAATAGCTTTGACTGAGCCTACCTGGGTAAATGCAATGCACGCAGAGTTAAATCAATTTGAAAAACTCGAGGTTTGGACGCTGGTTGAACTTCCTAAGGTAAAAAAGTCTCTTGACACGTGCTGGGTATACCGCAATAAGCAGGATGATTTAGGAGTCATGTCACACCCCAAAACTACGAACGGCGGAAACGTTCAGGGGTGGAGGACGTCATGTACAATATCACAACAGTGTAATATAATAAACAAGCAACAACATCATCTATTGCATTATAAGTAAAGTTTTAATACATGTGTGTTCTTTCATTGTTGTAAGACACCAAAAATATACAATCAAAATAAAAGACGAGACTTGTCTGCTCCGTCTTCTCAAAACCTGGCCTTCGTACCTGTCTACTGATTACCTGAGAATACAAGTTATTTTGAAAGAGAGCATCAGCTTTAAAGCTGGTGAATTCATAAGTATTTAAGTGTCATTGCCTTGCTTACTGAAAGCTATTTTAAAGGTCATGCAAACCTTTAAATGTAAATGTTGATGTAAGTATGAAAAACCCAAGAAAATCCCTTATTTTCTATCAGTGTGAGATGTAGTCTTCTACCAAGACCCGAATGTTTTGTTATGACAATGTAGTCTTCTACCAAGACCTGAATGTTTTGTAAGTAAAATGATAGTTTTTCCTTCTATTGACTAGTACTAAAGTACTTAGTCTACTCATTGTTTATGTGAAAGTATCACAAAATAAAGTAAATAGGAAATGTATACTAAAGTAAATATTATCCCGAAGTACTAGGGCTAACACAACGTATGTAACTGTTAACCTGAGGTACCAGCGCTAACACGACATTCATAACCTAATGAACATCTGAAGATTGTCCAATTGTCTTATGTAGCAGCACCAGGGCGGAGGAAGGGTTAGTCCCGTAAAGGTACTCCTAGTATAAGTAATAACCGTAGGCATCCGTAGATGTTCATCACCCACTGTTGCTAACAGATAGGTTCCGGAATGGTTAGTCCCGTCCGTATATCCCGAGGTACTAGGGATAGGGGCCCATCTAGGTATCCCAAGGTACTATGGATAGGGTCCTGTCTAGATATCCGGAGGTACTAGGGATATGCAGGAAGATTTACACAGAAGGTACTAATAAATCATCCTCGTAATTCGAGATACAAGTATTCATGTTAATGTACACAGTTAAGTGTATCTACGTAAAGGTACTCATGTAATGCGTTCATGTAAGCGTGTTCATGTATCATGTAAGTATATGTAAACGTACTCATGTATCATGTAATCAAATGTAAATGTACTCATGTATCAGGTAATGTACTGGTATAGACTCATGAATGAACTGACTCTTGTGTGATTCCTTGTAATAGGAATTATGTTTGATATCTCCAAGTTATCCCTATGATAATTTACTGGAAGGTAATTCGTTGTTCAAGTAGGCTTATACACTCTTACTACTCAAGGGTGTGAGAAACTAAATGAAAGTTGTAAACTATAACATCAATAAAAATATAAGAATATAAGTGTACATGCATAGTTTAGTTCAAGAATGTAAAATGGTTTTGTAAGACATCTTATGGGTTTTGAACAATAATTAACAATGACTTGATGTCATTTTTAATATACATTTCAAAGGTAAAACATTTGATAACAATGTGTTTTTAAGATTTAAAACCATTTCATGCATCACATTTTGTAGTATGTGAAATCTGTTAAATGACAAACATAGTTATAAAATACATATCAATGATTTAATAACATGTTTGTTTCTACTTGTATTCCTCCCCTTTAAAGCATTTAAAATCATTTAAAACATTGATTAG